CCTCTCTCTCTCTCTGTATCTCTCCCCCTCTCTCTCTCTCTTTATCTCCCCCCCTCTCTCTCTCTCCCTCTCTCTCTCTCTCTCTCTCTCTCTCTCTCTCTCTCTCTCTCCATGTTTTATGTCGTCCCCACCTACCATGTTGTATGATGTCCCCACCTCCAACCTCTGTGTCCATGTTTTTTGCTGTTCCCACCTCCAATGATTTATGTTATCCCCATCTCCCATGTTTTATATTAACCCCACCTCCAATCTCTGTGTCCATATTTCTCTCAATCCCAGCTGACCATCAGCACCGCGAGTGGCGACGAATATGAACAGGTGTGCTTGACCTTGACCTATCTCGTGGACCAGAACTGTGTCTCGACCTTGAACGTCTCCGGATTTCAAGAGAGGTGGTGGGATCCTGTAAAGGTTTGTTTCGTTGTTCTTTTATTAATAATAGTATTGAAAAAATCAAAACCGTTCTCAGCTCAATAATAGGCTTTACCATTGTAACCAGGGGCGGTTCGTTAACTGATCAAGACCGGCGGAGCAGGTCATTTTTAATCTGCTAGACAGTGGAAAAGCGATTTATTGCTGCTAATAATGCTCATTTAGTTTCAAATAAATGTTAATTAACATTATTGTCAACATTAAAAAAGCACTTGTATGAGTGTGTGTGTGTGTGTGTGTGTGTGTGTGTGTGTGTGTGTGTGTGTGTGTGTATGTGTTCGTGTATGTGTGTGCGTTTGTGAGTGTGTGTGTACGTGTGTGCGTGTGTAGTGTGTAATGAGGGATAGTTAAGACGTGGGTATACAAAGTAGAGTGTGAGCGGGGGAGCTGGGTGGGGAGGGGGAGGGGGGTAGGGAGAAGATGATGGTGATAAAAGGGAAAGGGTGGGGTGAGGGGATCAGTGTGAATGACAGCCGGCCAGTCCCTGATTGTAATTAACCTCTTCGGGCTCTACTTAAATTGCGCAAGTGATTTCTCCTTCACCCTCTTACTGTTTAGTAGCATTAATTAAAAGACCTTTGTAGCATTGATGTGCTTTTCTTTACTCAAACAAACAAACAAACAAAGAAACATCCACTAGTTCGTCGAGAATTAGAATCAAATTCAATCGCCCCGCCCTTCCCCACTCAGTGCGCACTCTTATCGTTTCTGCCTTAGAGCATCGGTTGCCATGACGACCTCCCGAAAGAGTCTATCACCACGGGGGAGATGTGCTCCAAGGACAAAAATTTGACCTTTCTCCTGACCCGGCAGAGTTCTGATGAGACAGGCATGACCTTTAAGGCTTCCATCCACAGCAAATGGCACACACGTAAGATATTATGCTCAGACACAAAATTACCTGTTGTTAATAAATTATTATCGTAATAATGCTTACTGATGTTTAAAAGACACCCTCTTCAATGATAACACAATGAAGATAAGAAGATAATAATAATATTATTATTCATCTTTATCGATGATGATGAAGTGATTATTGTTATTGTTATTATGATTATTATGATTATTATGATTAATATAGTGTAAAGTGCATAGAGCCTGCTGTTGAGCGGGGATATGAGCTATACAAATGCTATTTATTATTATTGAATGAATGAATGAATGAATGAATGAATGGATGAAAAGTGAAGAAATAGACTGCTTTTTGGCGGGGGACTGGCAGAGGGTGAAATAACG